AAATACTTTTATTGAAAAACAAAATGTATCAATCAATTCAGCATAGTCGAAAACCTATATGGAAATGTAATTTGTAAATAATACAAATGTGAAAAAGTGTTTTTTTTAGAACGACTAGACATAGTATTCGTTCACACTGTCCAGCAGCAAAATGAAAGTTGAGAAAATTCTGAAACTTGCATAAACATGAAGACAAAAGGTTCCTGTGTTGATTCTAACCTTCAGATATAAGACTTGTGATGAAAAATTTTCATGCTGCTGTTCGAGAAAAGTTTGACTACACAGTGACCACTTCGATATGCATTGGATGAATGAATTTTACATAGTTTGATAAAGTTCTTCGTCTGCTTTTGAACAATTAAAATCGTAGATTTCTAACTGTTTTTTTTCAAAAGTTATTCAACTTACAAAGAAGTCCGTCGTATTTTTGAATGGATAGTAGTTGGATACTTGTATTATCATTTTCTTCGCATCAATATCATTGCATTCTATTAACTTTCACACCATTTAAAGTATTATTAACATACAGAAAATACTTTCAATCAATGATTGAACATTAACATCATATAGTTTATTAAAAGTGAAAAATATTTCAGGTTTTATAAAACTCTTAAACAAAAGTAAATACTTCAACATCATCAAAATAAAAATGGCGATCATCTCTAAAAGTAGTTCTACCAATTGAATCTTTATATATTTCAGGAAAAAATATTCTACGAGTAACAACATTAAATAGACTATACAGAACTATATAACTTCTTCGATCAAATCGTATTGTTCGTTCAGGCATAGGATATTTCATTGTTGAAATTCTAAAAGAATTTTTTTATGTAAAATGAAATGTAGGTGAATTAACTTTATCAACATATGATGACCTCCAAGGAATTGTTGTAAATTCGCTGAAAATATATCCATTTCGAAAACGAATTATAGCCATTGTTGAATATCAATCATCACAAAATTGATGAAAATAATCTAGCTTTATATTCATCACGATTTGAACGATAGATTAATTCCCATTTGTTAATTGTTACAACCAAATAATTTATTTAATTGTTCTTGTCGTTCAGAAAGATAAAATTCAAGTATTAGAATAAAGGTTGTTTCCTTTAAATTTTGAATAATTATTGGTTTTTAATCGATAAGTTTATCTATTTTATAAAATTCAGCTTTAGTTATTAAACTCCGTCGAGATAATGCATTATCAAAATCAATAGTCTACTTGTATAGTACGAAAATATTGTAAAATACAAATAAATAAAACTTCATCTCAATCGACACAAGTCATTCTTATGTACCATTAAATAAATTTATTTTTTTTATTCTTGATGAAAATTGTTCAAGTTTTATATTTTAGATTCAGATAGATGTTGCTCATATTAGATTTTTTTTATATTGTTGTTAATTCATTTTTCAAAGGCAGCAAAATAGTTTCTATATTTTTTTAATTCCTTTATTTGTGCACTGAAAATTTCTTGTTATGGTATTGATTCCTGTTCTTCACATACTATGAAGTTGACATAAGGTCGC